GCATCAGGTTAGAAACAAGAAATCCTGCGAAAGCTCCGATTCCTGAACCATCAGGTATTTCGCCCCACCTAGAGCAACCTTGCGAAACAACAGAACAATTCACTCCCAACACGACAAGGCAAGCGGACAACAGAGAGGCACACAGACACAAAGAGACAAGGGGGAGAGAAAGAAAGGGAAAGAAGGAAAAGGGGGGGAGGGGTTGAGGACTATTACGTGGTCAAGGAGAGCAGATCATGTATTTATGCCATCGTCCTAAACTCAGCCGTTGTCATAAACATTCGCCATGGCCTCCATCTGGATCAGAATGACTCAGACCTGTCCAGCCGCTCCGCAAGTAGCTCCTCCGATCTCATTAGACGGCACATTTCCGCAGTCCATTCCCCCAGGGTAGGAATCACCTGTAATATCCCAATTAAGGGAGAAGACGGAACTCAGCTGCGGAGTCACGATAAATCTCACGTGCTCAAGCCCAGGAGTACGTGATGGCAAATAACCACAGGCCACAAAACTCAGTGCCTCATAGTACCGTCTCCCCACTCTACACTGACTACACTGAGGAATGTAAGTGTGTGACCAATAGAATAGAGGTTGAGGACAATGGGATGATTTACACCAAGCGTCAATGAGTAGGCAATTCTATATGATACTTCACATATGATAGCATGGAATCGTACTGCACGGTTACGTCTTATGTATGTTACTTTACATATATATATATTGGAGAGAGGTTGTATAGCAGTCTAATGGTTATATATGTTACCTCACATATATTTGTAATAGGTTCTATAACAGTCTATGGCATATATATGTTACTCCACATATAAGGGTATGGTTAAGGATTAGCAGGCAGTTGTCACGTATGCCCATTTAGGAGAAAGCACAGTCTATCCAAGCAGTTGTATGCTATTACATCCAAGAAGTACAAGGCAGTATATTGGAGCCCCAGTGGCCAGTCTAGCCAGTGGGGTGTATACTTGCTGTTCAGGAGCTTCTACACGAGCAGTAGTGATATTGCAGAGAAGTCCGGTGTTTGCAAAGGCATGCAGGCTCCAGTGTAGGCGGTCACTTCGTTTGAGAAGCTGTGGTGGTGAGAGGCATGCGTCTGGCGTTCCCCTCGGGTTGTTGGAACGCCAGACTATCGTCAGGTCACGGTTTATGATGCGGCGGGGGGAGTACTCGAGTGACGTCGGCGGACTGGGGGCGGAGCTATATCCCGAGGCCGTGATGCCGAACGGCTGGGTCTGCGGGATATGTTACATCACCTGAGAGTTCCAATGTCTCGGGATCAATGTCCCGAGAAATATCACAAGAGGGATTTCTTTGCCTGGGGGATGTAACCCGGGAAAACCGACAATAATGCCATTTGAGGCGTGAGATGAAGATCACTCGCAGACATTCTCGAGTACACGTGTGAGATGGTTCTCCAAAAGGGGGCAATCATGGGGCAGCTCCACCAGATATGTGATAACGTACCATCACCCGTTTGGCACCTCCAACAACTGTCCGGTAGAGAGGGAAACATCTGGTGCATCCTAGCCGGAGCTCTGTACCATCTAGTCAAGAGTTTGTAATTGCGTTCCTGCACCGCTGAGGACACACAGAGACTATGAGTGAGGCAGAAGCATTTCCGCCTTTCCTCCTCGGAATGGACCACGCCCAATTCCCGCCCCCATGCGGAGATGAAGTACGGGGATTCCCCTCCGTCCCCAGAAAGTAGGAATTCGTACAAAAACGATATAAGATGGGGTGGGGATTCTCCTGCTGCACATAGTTGTTCAAATGCAGTCAGGGGACCTTGCAAGGAGACGTATGAGAGAAGTCTACGCACAAAGTGTTGAAGTTGGTGATAGGCAAACCATGTATTTGGCGGCACAGGGTCAGGGGCAAAAAGTTGGGCCAAAGATTGGAGGGATCCCCTGTATAGTCCGTGAAAAATGTAGGAAGGAGCCGTCACTTCCCAGCTCAGGAACCTGCGTACCCCGCACCCAGGGGGAAACTCCGGATGGGCCAGGACAGGGGTCATCAAGCCCCGGAAAGGCGACAATTTGTATTTGAGCCTTGTAGAATCCCACACTTTGAGCACCAGAGTGAGAAAGAAGGGTAGCGTAGAACTAGGGGGCCGTTGTTGGGACGGGAACCAAGGGAGATTTGTGAGAGGAGACGGGGACAGTTCCTGCTCCAGGGTAACCCAAAGAGCCGGGTCCCTGGCGTCAAACCAGTCCACCAGATGTGATAAGTGAGTGGCCCTATAGTAAAATAATTTAGTTTATTCAGCATGAAATGGAGCTTAGTTATGTAGCATGAGGCTGCATATTCTGCAATATTTAAATTTTTGGTAAACTCGCTCAATGAATCCAAGCTCTGCAAGCTGAGATAACATGCACTGCATTGATGCATTACTAAACATTGATGTTTAAACAAATACAAGAATATGTAACATAATGTTATTGTTTTAATTAAATAAAAGAATTTGAGTAGTTCTCAAACTATGTGTGATTAACCTATTAACCTAAAATCGGTTCTGATATCGCTGTTTTACTAACCTGACAGCTTATTATTCTAAAATAGGAAACCTTCATTTTGTTTGCAAATAATAATATTAAAGATTCTTACTACCAGCAAGAATGAGTCCTTACAGTTAAAGAGCACTTAGCGGGCATCCACTCACCTGCTGCTCACCACGTCCCTCACCTTGTTGTGTCACTGCCGCATGACCAGCCGTCCCATTAAAGTGAATAAGACCGACAGTGAGTCAACAGCGGGTCAGAGGAGGAGCTGCTGCGGAACAGAGGACAGCTGCTCTTTCAAAATTATGATTTAAATCGAGTTGATTTAAAAAACTTTTAAGCAGACCTACCAGTCCACAGCAACTAAACCCCCACCATAATTTGCAAGGCCTAAGGGAATCCCGCCTCCCACAAAAAAAGGAAAAAAAATACTTACCTAAGACCCCAGGTGCAAGCACGACACCATTTAGCCTTACCATAAATGAGTATACTTTTTTCTTTGATGTTTTTGGCATATAACTTTGTTATAATGGTCTGGTCTAGTTGGCATGTACACTTGCTTTGTTGCAATTTCCTCTACTTCTAAGGCTGGGTTCACACCTGGGCGTTTTTCAGCGCTGATCGAAGTGCTGAAAAACGCTCAGCAAGTGAAATCCCATAATTTCCTATGGGCATGGTTCCCACCTGGGCGTATTTCAGCGCGCGAAAAAGAGCTGAAAAACGCCCTACGCCCAAACAAGTACAGGAGCTTCTATGGGGCGTATTTCAGCGTGTGTCCATTGGTATTCCCGAGTGTGGCTCGGGGTTAACAAAGCGGTAACCCCGAGCCACACTCGGGAATACAGCGTAGGTCTTAGCTTGTCCGCAATCCCCGCTGTGTCCTCCGGCTGTTGCCATCTTCCGGGTTCCATCCCTTGCGTGCGTCCGCGCCGCACGGGGGCGGAACCGGCGGGAAGTTTGAACGTTAAGAAAAAAAAACAGAAAAAGATAGAGAAAACATTTTTTAAAAAATCATACCGCCAGCGAGGTATAAAAACGAGTGTTGAGCGTGCGTTTCACTGAATAAAAAAAGTGCTAAAAAAGCGCTAAAAACGAGCTGACAAAACGCGCCTATAGTATGCTGGTGTGAACCCAGCCTTAGTGATGTAATAAATAGATCATACAATAGTCAGTATATAAAAACTGAATGAAAAGAAAAGTCTAGGTGCCTGTAACAATTATCAGCTTTCAATAACAAACCTGCACTAGACTCTGAATGCTAAAATCCTACTGTCTTTCATACATTTTTGTTCGTTATAAGAACATGATAACCATGACCTTTACTCATACCAGTAAGAACAACAAGCATTAAAATGGCATCAAGAAATGTGCAAAATGAAATGGAGCCCTTTTTATGTATGCTATTAGGTACATGCAGTCATGGACTCCACACTAGTTTAACAAAATAGCTTGATCCTATATGAAGTCCAATTTCAAAGGCAACAAAAACACAGCCCAAAGCCATAACATGGCTTTGAGATGTGATACAAATTCAAGGCATGTATAAAATAGATACCATGTAAACTAGGACAAATAACAATAGCATAAGACAAAGAATAAAACCAGCAGCAATGATCATTATCAAATCAATGGTTAAAAATTAAAGATATTCAGTTTAAGAAAAAGCAGAGCAAAGAAAACTGAAGCAGTTAACCTCAACAGCCAGATCCCTTCCTTTTCCACTTTAGTTCCGGTTGTTGGAAATCAGCCCTTTGTTTACACATGCACATATGTAACAATGGTACGCCAACTTAAAAAGATGTGTATATGCTATGCACATATTGAAACTGCATTGTGGCAAAATAATGTCACTCTACAGCACAACACTCTTCGGTGCATGACGTTCAGCTTTTTAGTACCTGAAGAAATATATGCTTTGCTTCAAAGGTTGATGTATTTGCACTGCTAAATGCATGCTATACTGGACAGCAGGTGCAACAACCACTTCTCGGAGAACTAACAGTTACTTTCTGAAGTTGGTGTAGAACACTGTCATTAAAGGCCAAGGTCACTGGAAAAAACAGGCCTTTCCTCCCTTTGGTATGTTAACCCCAAAATTGCTAAACCTGTTTCTTTTAGGTGTTAAAACAAACTATTCTGAGCATACTTTATTTACATTGTAAGGATAAATATATTATATAATAATCTTTTGACTATATCATTACAGCATATAAAACTTATGTTTGCCTTTTCCCCATTTCTACCGCACCCTGAAATACCCCACATTGCCAAATATGACATCCGTTCTCTGTGTCAGATATAAATATGCACTCTGTTTTTCTGTTATGATTTTGCTAACTAATAAGAACTTACAGTGCAAAATTAAAGGACTTTTAAAGATGGAAACATAGCTGTAAATAATGAGCCGAAGAAGCGGAGAGAAACAAGCAGGGTGTGAATCAAAAGCTGTATAAGCTTTAAGTCAGAAGTATGGGATTCAAGTGACTTTACCTGGGTCAGACATAAAGGTGATGCATACATGACTGTACAGCGTATCCTTGTATATTCCACTGCTATATACACAAAGTTACTGAATCAAAAGGCAGCTGCTGTACGCTCTCTTCTCCTTGTAAGATCCCACATCCAACTTTCTGTATCCCCCCAAAAATAAAAATAATTCTGCAAAATACACATTAAAAAAAAAGAAAAAAGCTTGCTTTGGGAATTCCAAACTGGGATAGAGACAGGAGGTCTTGCGTAAAAAGAAAAAAACAAAAAAACCTGGTACCCTTCTTTAACCTCCACACCGATTGCAGGCTTCCCCTCAAGGAGGTAGAAGGCAACTTTGTGAATTGTGTTCTTTAGGAAAATGAGCAGAGGAACGATAGCATGAAAAAGACATAAAAGAGAGAGTGTGTGTGTGGAAAGGAGGGGGGAGGAGGGAAAGGGGTGACGCTCTACATCAAGCCCATCCTACAGTACTAAAAGAAAAAAAATACTGATATAAAAATGACATCCCTTTAAAGATGCAGGAACCGTACACAGAGGAAGATGCCATTATGGGTGAGAGGTGTGAAGCTATTCTTCGTATTGCAGTCTTTTAAACGTCTGCATAACACTGCTTAACCAGTGAGCAGGGACACATTCATGTAGCACAATATTAGACTGAAGGGGCCACAGATGAAGATGTATTTAGTTTGGTAAACCAGAAAATAAATAGGTTGTGGGCATTTGGGATGGGGGAATCAGAATGGATAAGTGCAATTTTCGTGTGTTGAAGTTTTCTTTCTTGTTGTTGGATTGATCACGTAATCCAATCTATGGAACTCTAATCTAATAAAGGTAGATTAAACTATATATATAGTTTATACTAGTATATACTATACTACACTGAGTGGGCAGATTATTATGACCACCTGACGTTTGTAGGCAAATTAGCTATAATTTCGCGCTGAAGTTGCTAGAGGGCCAGACCATTATAAATAGGGAAGCAGGTTGTTTACCACGACAGTAGAAGTGATTTTTTTCTGAAGATATTGGTAAACAACGCGATTTAACAGCCTTTGAACGTGTGATGATTGTTGGCGCTCGGAGCCATGGAGCGAGTATCGGCAAAACAGCAGAATGCGTTAAATGTTCAAGAGCAGTTGTTGTTAAAGTGTTTAAAGACTGGACTGTCAGCCGAAAATCTGGGTCTGAACGTGCAAATTATGGCCTTCAGCGACTAGTCAATGTTAGGGCAGAACAGAGAGTGGCAAGACTGGTACAAGACAACAGAAAGGCAGTGCAGTGTCAGATTCCTTGCATCACCCTTCAACATCTCGTGTAGTCACGAGGCGGCCCAACGAAGTTATCTCGTGGCCCAACGAAGTACTGATGGGGTGGTCATAATAATCTGGCCACTCAGTGTATATATACAAGTATATGAAATGTAGTACCTGCATTCAACTAGTCTTTTCATCTAAATAGCCTGCACAGCATAGTCAGAAAACTAATTTTTGTCTACTGCAGTTAAGCCAATCACCTTGTCATCAACCTGGCCTAGCCTGTGATTCAGCAATGCAGAATGCTGAGAATAGTATTCCGCTATCCTCTGAAAGTATAGTCAAACTTACATTAGATGCACGCATGTTTTAGCTAGCAGACTGAAAAACACTGCCATCAATGGAGCAATGTGCGTAAAAACGCACATAGAAAAGTGCTAAACACTTGTGTTGCACGTTTTACAGGCTTCTCCATTAAAGTCTGTGGGGCCAAATGCGCTGCAAATTGACCCAAAGAAGCTCAGGAACTTTTTCCAGTGACGGGCGTTTTGCAGTTTGGGACAAAACGCTCATGTGTGAACTGGGGCCATTGAAATCAATGGGAATGCATGTGCTGAGTGTTTTGTCATGTGTTTGTGTGCGACAAAATGCCTAGGCGTGAATTCACACTATTATATGCTTGGGGCTGCGCTTGCCGTTATTTCTAGCACAACCCAAGACAATTTGCCTTGTCACAGACGGGCTAAATTCACGGCACCGCATTGCGACGAGAACTCGGCGGTGTGCGCTGAAAATAAATACGGCATACTGTACTTTTATCAGCGCAGCGAAACAACCACCTCACACCCTGCTGTGCCCGTAACTAAATGAGATGTCACTTGTAACATTTCAATAAAATTGCACATAAAAAAGTACACAGCGTGCTGTGCTGGGATCAACGCATCGGCACTGTGTGTTGGGCAACACACACCAGCCACCGTGCATTAGCACAAAGGCTGGGGAGAATTGGCCTTACGAGTGTTCCCAAACGCAGCAACAGCCATGGCACACACATCATTGGTGGTTATTTATTTTTACAATGGTGAAAATTTGTTCAGCTTTAGTAATGTGACCATGGCTTAGATAAATTAAATTGATAGTATTTTTTTACATGGGGAGCCTTCTTGATGGCGTTAACAGCACGCTGACGTGTTGTGTCACTTTCACTGATTTTAACAGCCAGGCTGGCCTTTTATTGTACAGCGCTAGCCCAAATGCCCTGTGCCTCGCTGCACCGTTCTACTAATGCTAATTGCTGTAAAGTAACGGCACCGCGGGGACAGGCATCTTCAATATGTCCCTCAGCAAACTGTGAGAGCTACACACCAACTTCCCTCCAAGTTTGCCTGAGGCGCAGAGCACTTAGGCGAATGGGGCTCTTTAACGCGCCTATTTGGGACAGTAGTCGAGTCAGGCGCGCCTCTCCCCGCTTCACTTCCAAGTTCATCCCGATGTCCGCGCTGGGTCCTCCCCTTCCTACGCGGCCATTTTTACCCAACTCCAAATTCTCGTTTGTTAAAGCGATATCTCTCCACCCCTTGTCCTAAATTCCCCTCCTCCCTCATGAAGCTAGACATGCCGAGGTGAAGGGGGGTCACGACAGTATTATATAAGATCAGCCTTTCTCTCATTACTTTACATCGCCGCAAGGGGGGAAAAAAGGGGGGCGCACGCAACGCCCGAAACTATATAAGCGCCGTGTTCTGAGGCCGGTACCCCACCCATTGTGCCCACAAGACGGCCGGGACTTGTCACCTACCATGATCCAGCTTCTTCCTCTCTCACCACGATCAGACGTCCAAAAACGAAACTGGCATGTTCAGGGCTGCTGATCCTAGGTCCATTCTGGGCGCACGGGGAAGGGAGGCGAGGAGATTTCCATGGGAGTCCCCTTTGTGTCTTGTATCAGAGGCTCCTGCGAGTCTCGGTGCCCCTGTCTCCTCTCCCTGGTGCTGTGAATGAAATGCTGAGTAACATAGTGTGAGATCCTGCACTGCCCTCCCCGCTGCTCCAACTGGGGAATTACTGGGCCGGAGGGAGGGGAGAGGGAGTTGGGAATAAAGGAGCACCCGAAAATAAAACACGCCGATCTCCTGCCACACGCTCGGGTTATGTACGGACGATGCGAGTGTTTCTGGAACAATTGTGACCACTACCAGACATGCTGTGAAAAGGGGTGTTAGGAGTTGGGTTCTGCTACAGCGTGTTACGTTTTCACCAACTGTTCATGTCATATTCTCGGTGTCATTCGCACATTTTGTGGAAGTAAATGGGATCTTTAAGTTCGTGTCACTTAGTAATGCGTCCCTATTTACCGTGACCCCTTGTCACCCCTTCCATTTCCCTGCCTGCATCACTCTTCACTGTCAGTGTTCTCCTCCTCCTTATCTACATGAACCCTCCTCCCTATCTGTACCCATCTGGCGCGTGCCCCCTGGCATCTGCAAGGGTGAGGGAGGAGCTGTGCTCGTTCTTCCCTCCTCAGCCAGGGAATTAACCTTCTCTTCCTTTCTATGCTTTCTCATATGTATAACGGGATGGCTCGCTTTTACCTCAGCTACCTCTCCGTTAAACGAGACTGCTAGTTTTATAGTAAAAGGAAACCCAAATAATAAAACCTTATATAAACTTTAACATAATTATGTCAATGTAAAAGCCCGTTTAAGGCCCGTTATCACTGGAAGCAACAAAGCAAAATGCCATTAATGTGACGTGGGGCTGCACTAGACCCTTTTTCTACACAAAGAAAGGGCAATTTGTTTTGTTTTATTGGGCACAGTTCATAGCATCGGTGTGCACTGAAAAAGTATGGCATGTTGTACTTTTTTTTTCAGTGCAGTGGGGGTGTGATGCGGTACAACTCCATCACACTGCTGGTTGAACCTCATGACATGTCACTCACAGAGCTGTCCCTACAATGAGGAAGACTGAGGAGGTTGGCTCCGGCAGCATCTCATTGGGGAGCAGCCAAGAGGGGGGGGAGGGGGGCCACAGTGATCCTGGTTGCTAAGAGCTCTTAGCAACCTGTGACACTTTGTGCAGTGCTGCTTCCTGCCCAGCTAACTGACGTCACTGGTTGCCAGGAGCCAAGCGTGGATACTCTGGCTTGCGTCCCGCCCAGCTCCTGACAACCAATGACGTCAGGATATTGCAAATGAATCCACATGCGCATCTTACAGCACTTTGTGACCATAGAGTAACGGTGGTGCTCGCAGTGATGTCACGGATGGTGCCATGCAAAACTTCCAAGTAACAGCTGAAATCACCAGCACACACGAAATGCAGTTTCGATCTCCTTAGTGATTTATTGGAATGTCACATTATGCTATGTATGCTATGTATGCTAACGTTTCGGGACAGCGCAGGGACACTTCATCAGAGCGGCATAGTCACTACTCGACTTGTATGCAGCGTGCTCGTCCGTCCTCCCCCAATAAAGTTAAGTGGAAAAAAAATGTAAATTAAAAAACTTAAAATAAATAAAAATTATGAAAAAATTATAATTCAAATAAAAAGGTGATAAAAAGTTATAGGATTTA